ATGTCTGAAGTTGTTACAGGGCTGAGTAAGCCTTCACAGCCCCAAACCTTGATGGGGAGTGCAGTAAGCTGTTATGGGACGAAATACATAAGGCATCTAGATATGAAAATGTGGTGATAATGGGAGATTTTAACTTTAGACAAATTGATTGGAACAATATGACAGGAAATCTCAAGTATAGTGACTTCCTTGATACGGTTCAAGATTGCTTTTTAGAACAGGTTGTGACAGAACCAACTAGAGGAAACAATCTGCTTGACTTGGTTCTTGCCAACAAAGATTCATTAATTAATAATCTTGAGGTTAATGATGAGCTTGGGGAAAGTGATCACAAATCACTTAGTTTCAATATATCATGGAATTACCCAGATAACTGCTATCAAATCTCTGTCCCAGATTTTCGCTTGGCCGACTTCATGGGACTGAAAAATTACCTGGGTGGGCTAAATTGGAATGCCCTGACTATGGGTCAAGTAGGTGATCTTGGTTGCCAATATGACATTTTTCAGAGCATAGTTCTAGCTGCCAGACAACTTTTGTTCAGAGTAGGGAAATTAGATCTAACAAAAATGGTTCCAAATGGATAAACAATAGATTAAAACGTCTCACTGGTCAAAAGAGAGGCATACATAGGTGTATCAAAAGAGGGGATGGGCAATTAAGAAATCAATATATTCAATTAAAGAGAGATAAACAAAGTTTTGATCTATGAAGAGTGGGAGGGGGGGGGGATTGTTGCCAGGGATGGGATTTAAGAATAATCACTAAATCCCATCCCTAGCAACACCCTCCCCCCCCCACTCTTCACAGATCTAAACTTACTCCCTGTTCAGAACATCCACACTTACTACTGTGCAATCTATATCTACAGGACCTTAAATTCCAATATTAACCTTGACCTAAAATGCTTTCTTGATAGTTGTGACAGAACCCACAGGCATAGCACCAGACACAAACATCTCTATGACATTCCCCGTGTTCGACTAAACCTTTACAAAAATTCAATGTATTTCAAAGGACCTAATATCTAGAACACCCTACCTGAAAACTCTAGAACTGCAGACACATTCATCACTTTCAAAACTACAGTTAGAAAACATCTTATCTCCCTGATCCACCCCGACAACTAACTACATGATAACCACCTGGTGGTTCACAGTTACACTCACTCACCCACTGACTATAAACCCAGAAATACTAATCTTAACCTTAAAATAATAAATCCTTACTAGTCATAAGTTTGCCTATGATACTCCAATATAGACACTTTGTATTGTGCCAAAAAAGCATTCACATTGCTAAACTCACAAATTATGATGTAGTCACTTAGCCTTAATACCATAATCTGTAAGGATTTAATGTTAAGAATTAATCTAAGTCTGCTTGAAATGCCTAGCCAGGCTAGGTGTCCTAGTGGCCCCCTCTGTAATTAGTATTTTATAACCTGTAAACCACACAATACCCAAAACCTGTAAAGCCCACATTGTAACCCTTATAAAGAATAAACTTGAATAAGAAAAGCTGAAAGGGATTATGAGGCTAAGGTTGCAAGGGATTCAAAGACTAACCCAAAAGGGTTCTTTCAGGTATACAGAAGTAAGATTAGGGACAAGACTGGCCCACTTAAGAGTAACTCTGGTCAGTTCACTGACAGTGATAAGGATATGTGTGAAATTCTCAATACCTACTTCCTCAGTTTTCACCCAGGAAAATACTAGCGATATTCCTGAAGTAATAGATTATGTAGAACTGGGTGATAATAAACTCTGCACAATTGCAGTAACTAGTGACATGGTCCTCAGACAAATAGAGAAACTAAAAACTAACAAATCCCCAGGTCCTGATGAACTGTTTGCAAGAGTGTTAAAGGAATGTAAAGAGGAACTTAGCATACCTTTGGCTAATCTTTTTAACATATCACTACAAACTGGCATAGTGACTGATAAGTGGAAAATGGCAAATGTAATACCTATTTACAAGGCAGGTGACAGGTCCTTGGCTTTGAACTTTATAGTGGGAAAATTTATGGAATCAATTGCTGAAGCAATTCGTAGCCATCTTGATAGGCACAGATTGATTAAGGAATCTCAACACTGTTTTACAAAGGGGCGTTCCTGTCTTACGAATTTACTAACTTTTTTCACTAAGGTGTTTGAGGAGGTAGATCATGGTAATGAATATGATATTGTGTATATGGACTTCAGTAAGGCTTTCGATAAAGTTCCACACCAGAGGCTACTGAGGAAACAAGGCACATGGAATAGGAGAAATTTTTTCCTGGGTAGAGGCATGGACTGACAAATAGGCAGCAGTGTGTTTGCATATATGGGGAGAAATCGGAATGGGGGCACGTCACAAGCGGTGTTCCTCAGGGGTCAGTGTTGGGCCCATTGTTGTTCACAATTTACATAAACGACATAGATGAGGGAATAAATAGGACATAAGCAAATTTGCTGATGACACCAAAATAGGCTGTCCAGTTCATTTTAATGAGGACACTAGAGCATTCCAGGATGATTTGAATAGACTGATGCAATGGTCGGATTAGTGGCAGATGCAGTTTAATATTGACAAATGCGAAGTTCTAAAGGTTGGACAGGTAAATAACCATGCCACATATAAACTAAATAATGTAGATCTTAATACTGATTGAGAAAATGATTTAGGAGTTCTGGTTAGGAGTAATCTAAAACCAAGACAACAGTGCATTCGTGTTCGCAATAAAGCTAACAGAATTCTTGGCTTCATATCAAGAAGTATAAATAATAGAAATCCTCAGGTTGTTCAACTATATATCCTTGGTTAGGCCTCATTTGGACTATGCTGCTCAGTTCAGGTCACCGTATTACAGAATGGATATAAATGCTCTGGAAAACGTACAGAGGAGGATGACAATGATGATCCCATGTATCAGAAATCTTCCCTATGAGGATAGACTGAGGGCCCTGAATCTGCACTCTCGAAAGGTGTAGAATTAGGGGGGATATGATCGAGGTGTATAAATGGAAAACAGGAATAAATAAAGGGGATGTAAATAGCGTGCTGAAAATTTCCAGCCAAGACAGTACTCGCAGCAATGGTTTCAAGCTGGAAAAATTCAGATTCAGGAAGGATATAGGAAAGCACTGGTTTGGTAATAGTCGTGGATGAGTGGAACAAACTCTAGAGTACAGTTATTCAGGTTAAAACGTTGTGTAGTTTTAAAAATAGGTTAGATAAATACACGAATGGGTCTGGGTGGGTGTGAGTTGGACCTGACTAGCTTGTGCTGCTGGAGTATAGTGCCGTGCTCCTTGAGTGGAGGTGGCCAGACTGGATGGGTCATTGGGCTAATCCGGGGGATGGGGGGGGGGGTTGCAATGGACCTGCTCTGCATGGGTCAGTAGACCTGTTGCAGTGTTCCTTCTTTCTTATGTTCTAACTGAATACAGTGCTCCACAGAAGTTAAGAGTGATGCACAAGAAGCAATGATTCAAGTACGGCCAGCACAGAACGTCATGTTTGACATTTATCCCCATACCACAGAAACGTGCTAGCCTGAGGTCCACAGCTCCACTGACACTCAACTTCCAGGCAGTAGGGGAAAATGAGAGGTTATGGGTCACTGTTGCTGTTTGACCTGTGGGTATAGCAATGCCCCTTTCCCCATGAATGCAATATGGGTCACCGAGCATGGCAAACCCCACAGGGCAGTGTTTAGTTTCTCTTTATGGCATGGCCATCTTGCAGAGCTGATGCCTCCCTAGTACAGCTATGGCAGTAAAAACCATAAATTCCTATTGGTTATGTAAAGGACCTGCCATCAAGGAAAGCAAAATGTAACCAAAATGTTCTGCTAGTTGCTTGTGTTCATTTACCTAATGTATGACACCAGCACCAAGACATCTATCTGCCTTAATGGGGTGAGAAATGAAACATGGCCCAGATAATAATTAATTTATTACAATATACAAGCTTGTATGTCCCTCCCAACCTCCCTCCCTCCCTATCCCCCAACCCCACCCAGCCCACATCTTAGTCTACCCTGCAATATATACACCTATATAACAGGATACCATCATATCAATGCATGTCATATTTGTCTAAATAGCAAGGGAACACAACCAAAGTCTTGGACAAGAACACATGCCAAACTGTAGCAACTTACTTTCATTGCTTAAACAATGAAAATACAAATATGCTTTAATCAATTTAAAATAAAAATGATACACAACTGTATACAGTAAATTAAAACATTTAAGTTACAACGATAAACATTTATTATATAATTTTTGCTATATAAACATGAATAAAATTATCTATCAGTTTTATACTGAGCATCTTATCTTTCTGAAGATGAGAAGATGGTCAGAATAATGTAACTGTAGTACTTAATAATTTATGGTAAGTATTGCCACCAATGGATCTTTCTGTTGAAATCACATGAAGAATACAAGTCACTAACCATGGCTCCATGAATTTACAGTTAATGCAAAATTTACTGAGGAAACAAAATTCTGTCAGCTGATATTATGGGTGTTAACCATGGTCCAGAACGAACTGAAATGTCCTCTAATTTGTCGTGGGTTTACAAAGTTGCAGCGATACCATCGTTTAATATTCATGCCCATCTTTATCAACCTCAACCAAATGTCTTTGGTTTACATTGGAGATCCACAAGAATATGTTATTTGCTAAAATAACAGCAAGATACATAGGAATATACCAGTTAATTCATACCACAATGAGATGCATTCTCACATTTGAACAACAGAACCAACCAACTTAACACTCTTCTCAAAACAATGCTCATTTAACCCACATCACTGAAGGATTGTAATCTCACAAGGCTAAACTGCTGCATGACAATATGACATACCAATACAAGCTTGCTATCACTCCACTCATTGCAGAGATTAAAAAAAAAAAAAAAATTATCAACACTGCTAAAAACTGCCTATAGGCTATGACTGATCTGCTGTATTGTAGTCCTCACTAACTGGCTCGGTAGAGTGGCCATTTTGTGGCAAAGCTGGAGCAGTCTGTGGTGCTGCTGAATCCTTGAGGTCAAGGGTCGGCGTTGCTGACAATCGATCACCCAAGACTCCTTGTATACGCTTTGTCATGCTAAGAAGAGGACGTTTAACATCTGAGCCACCGAGGTCAGCATCACCCAACAAACATTTCACACCAACGCCCTTCCGCTTGAGCATGGTATTGATCACTCTTAAATCCTGAAAAAGGTAAACATGAAGTTAAAGACAAAGTAATGAACAACTATCAATGAATAAACAGAAGAATGGATGTACAGTGGACCCTTGCCTAACGATATTAATCTGTTCCCGAGAGCTCAACATTAGGCGAATAAATTTTCCCCATAAGAAATAATGGAAATCAAATTAATCCATTCCTGACACCCCAAAGTATGAAAAAAAAAATTACCACATGAAATATTAATTTTAATACACACAAACTGAAGAAGACATGCACAGTTACATGACACTTGCCTTTATTGAAGATCTGGCGATGACTGATGGGATGGGAGGAGGGGTGTGTGGATGGTGTAAATGTTTAGAAGGGGAATCCCCTTCCATTAGGACTTGAGGTGGCAAGTCCTTTTCCGGGGTTACTTCTCTTCTTTTAATGCCACTAGGACCAGCTTCAGAGTCATTGAGCCTCTGTCGCACAACATATCTGTCCATAGAGGCCTGTACCTCCCGTTCCTTTATGACATTCCTAAAGTGTTTCACAACATTGTCAGTGTAATTCTTAAATCTCTCAAACCAACCTTTGCTGGCCTTAAATTCACTCACATCACCACTAGTTGCAGGCATTTTTCTAATTAAATTGTCATGCAACTTCCTAGCCTTTTCACATATGATCACTTGAGAGATGCTATCTCCTGCTATCTGTTTTTCGTTTATCCACACCAATAACAGTCTCAACATCTTCTATCACTTGCGATCTCTGTTTCAAAACAAAGTTGCACCTTTGGCAAGAACAGCTTCCTTGATTGCCATTTTCTTGGTCACAATAGTAGTGATGGTTGATTGGGGTTTTGTGTACAACCTGGCCAGCTCGGAGACAGGCACTCCACTTTCATACTTAGCAATGATCTCTTTCTTCATATCCATAGCAATTCTCACCCTTTTTCCTGTAGGGTTGGCACTAGAAGCTTTCTTGGGGCCCATGGTGACTTATTTTGCAGGTGCAATCACTAAAAAGGCTGTGATAATATGAAATGTTCCGATTGTATGCTTGGATGCAACCGTGGTGGCTGGCTTGTAAACACTGGCACCCACGGAACAAGTGAGGCGGGCTCAGGCCACACGTGGACACGTCTTGAATGAATCGCATTAAGCGAGTTTTTTTAGCGCCAGCCGAGGCAAAATTTTTGCGTTAAAATGTATTGCTAGGCGGATTTAACGTTATGTGATGCCGTCGTTAGGCGAGGGTCCACTGTACACTCAAACCTTGTCTTGGCAGTAGCAGACCAGAAGCTCAAGTCCACAATCACTTTTCTGTTTATTCATAGGTCAAACATTTGTGTTGCAATTCACTCTAAATCTGTATCTTCTTTGATAAGTACAGCACTTTGCTTTTAACATGTAGGGTGGTAAAAACAAACAAAAATGCACATGCCAACACAAAAATATTGCTCTTGCCAGAAATGCACATACATCACAGTACAGATGGCTCTGAACTGCAACAGTGCTGTGTACTGTACATCCTCACTCCAGGACTCAAGTCCAGCTAACCATTTCTACTCAATCCCTTCATAAATGTTACCCTGCTCACACTAACATGTTAAGTGTTGGAATGTGCTGTTAGTGTGTTTAGGTCATAACACTGATGATCCATACAGTGGCTAGCAGGCAACTTAGGTTTGATCCAAGAAAAGGGAAGATAACAAATGAATTACAGCAAGAGTCCTTTACCAAAATAATGGCAACTCCTCCAATGGCATTTAAAGTGCAAAGAATATACAAGAGAGATAGATAGAGAGAGAGATAGAGACAGAGAGAGAGAGACAGTGACAGACAGACAGACACAATAAGGCAGGAGGAGGTGCATTTCCTACTTAAATTGCTTGACCAAGAAAAGGCTGTGGGCCCAGACAAGTTGAGCCCAAGATTGATGAGAAGATGTGCAGACCAGCTAGCAGCACCTCTAACTCGCATCTTTCAGCACTGCCTAGTACAGTGTAAATGGCCCTCTCTATGAAAGAGGCAAATGTAGTCCCTGTTCACAAAAAGAAGAGCAGAGCAGAAATCAGCAACTACAGACCAGTGTCACTCCTGTCAATCACTGGTAAGATCCTTGAGACAATAATCTCATGACAAATGAAATGAGTTTTTTGACTATCACTCACTACTTTGTGATCGTCAATATGGCTTCAGGAAAAGGTACTCTGCTGCTGATCTGTTGTTAAACCTCTCCACTAATTGGCACCAGTCATTGGATGAATCCAAAGTCAGCTGTGTGGTAGCACTGGACATTGCTGGCGCTGTCGACCCGGGTGTGGCATCAGGGCCTCTTAGCAAAACTTCAAGCACTGGGAATTGCAGGCTCTATGCTATGTCTCCTCAGTGATTACCTTCATGGTAGATCTCTAAGTAGTTCTCAATGGAACGGAATCAGCAAGACATCCTATTGGGGCAAGTGTTCCACAAGGAAGCGTGCTGGGACCATTGTTATGGAACGTCTACTTCAACGACCTTCTTCATCTCATCCCAGAATCACATGCATATGCAGACGACTGTACACTGACATTCACTTATCCAAGAGAAGAAATGCCAGCTGCTCTAAGCTACATCAATCACCAGCTGAGAGCTATATCAGCTTGGGGAAATAGATGGCAAGTAACATTTGCACCCGAGAAAACGCAAATGATGATCGTCTCTAGGCACCATGATGGTAATGCTGGTGCAGTAGTAAGGATGAATGGGAGGATGTTGGCACCTGGAGAAGAAGTTGATATCCTTGGGGTGAAATTTGACTCCAAACTAACCATGAAGAACCATGTTGTAAATCTTGCAAACAAGGCAGCCAGGAAGCTTACAGCACTTTGCCGTATCTCGCATCTACTTGACAGTAGGGGTTGCAAGATTCTGTACGAGGCACACGTACGCTCACACCTTGAATATGCTCCACTTTCTTGGTTTGCCTGCCCCCCCCCCTCTCATCTGTGACTGCTTGACAGAGAAGAGAACAGAGCAAGACGTCTCATCTCTCGCCTGGACCCATCCTGGATAGATCTGTCATTTCAGCAGAGCCTTCAACATAGGCCACCCACATCCCTCCTAACTGTTATGTACAAGGCCAATATTGTCAAAGTACCACACTTGGATCCACTTCGAGGACAGCGTGAAACAAGCTTTTATGCCACAAGACGGGCAGAAAGCTGCAACTTCACTTGGCTGTACCCTTCTCCTAGAAATCATCCATCTGAGAGTCATATACACCCAGATGACTCGAGTTATGGAACACCAAATTTTCGTACCAGCATTTGGGATTCAATGAGATAAGCAGTTGAATCAAGCTTTTATGCCCACAGATGGGCCAAAATGCAACTTCCCTGCTTGTACCTTCTCATAACAATAAAATCTTTCAATGACTCGATGTGGTAACACTCTTCGTACAGTCATAAATGTACGAGATCCTAACATTGTAATAAAATGCTGCCTCAATAAGCTAATCATCCTTCCCTACTTGTATCTCATAAAAAAAAATGCTTTCAAAGAGACTAGTAGGTAGCAGTTAGCTTGTAATAAAGCTAGGAATCTTAACATGTAACAGACTTGTCAATAAAGCTAGGGATCCTTAACCTTGTCAAACCGTGTAAAAAAAAAAAACAAGAGAGAGAGACAGAGACAGAGACAGAGAGAGAGAGAGAGACAGAGACAGAGAGACAGACAGAGAGAGACAGAGAGAGACAGAGATAAACAGACAGAGAATTGCTGGCTACACCTCATGGATGAGAAGAGACAGGCAAGGGCAAGGAGGTGGTGTTGCTGTGTGCTTCTCTAAAAGTGTTCATGTCCAGCACATTGATGCTGCCATCCCTACTCATCTTGAAATGATGTTCTTCAAGCTCTGCATAAACACTAGTACCTCTGTACTAGCATGTGCAATGTACAGACCTCAGTGGCAACATGCAGACCCAATCAACTTCCTAATGGAAAATATGGACTCCCTTCTGCTACAACACAACTGTCAACGTATCATAATTGTTGGTGACCTCAACCACCACCTTATACAGAGGGACTTGGATGACCTTCTTGCAGTATTTAACATGAGAAACTTTTTTGATTTCCCTACTCACATCTCTGGCTCCTCCCTTGACCCAGTAGTGAGTGATCTGGCAGAAGGCATAGTCCCTTGTCAACCCCTCGGCTACGTTGGATCGTCTGACCACAAGGCTGTTTTTACGACACTTAAGATCCCAACAGAACGAGGTGAGGAGTACACATGCACAACCTGGCTATGGGAAAGAGGTAATAGGCCAGCCCTTTGCTCTGAGTTCGCCACCACCGATTGGAATGCTCTTCTCCAAAGGGATGCTGACAACCAAGTGAAAGCCTTCACTGGACACATCCTTAATCTACAACAAGAGCACATTCCTCACTGGCAATATGTGACAAAGCCTACAGATCAGCCTTGGTTTGGCTTTCGTTGTAGAGAGGCTGCTACTGCTAAGTACAAGGCATGGCGAAGGTATAAGAGACATCCTACCACCTATAACAGGAACTTGTGTAGACAGCCTGTACTGTCAGAACACACAGCCTAGCCGTCTGCTCTGACTAGTTCATATTTCGCGGCATTTAGGTGCTGCCCTCTGTAGGCTCACTCAGGTAAGTGGGAGGCTGAGCCCATCCGCCCTCACTCTAGGCCGACCGACTTGATAGACACAAGTGCTCCCCCTCCACGGACTGGCTTGCGGTCACTCCCTCACACTGCCCGTTGTGTACTCACTCCTACCCAATTAAAGCCAAACTAGTCCACGGCCGTATCATTGCTACCTACGCTACCTTCATCGGCACTAAACCGCTGTTCAGCAGCAAGAACAGCAATAACACTTGCACAGGCAAGCTTGCAGGCATATGGGTGACGTTTCAAAAGTGGGCCATTGCTAAATGGGAGATGGACACAAAGAAAGCTAGCATCAGGTAGGGTAGGCTCCAAAACCTGGTGGTCCCTGGTCAAGGACAGACAAGGTTATCTGCCTGATCAAGTCATTCCACCTCTAAATCGACAAGATGGGATTACCTCTTCTAGTAGTCAAGAGAAAGCGGACTTCTTTGCCGAACACTTTGCTACCAAAATGCAAGTTCCTGATCCAGCATGGGACCCTCCTTGGCTAACTGCAAGAACTGTATCAAAACAAAGTTGTGACAAAGCAGGAAGAGATGCATTTCCTTAAATTGGTTGACCAAGAAAAGGCTGTGGGCCCAAGCTTGCCGAGGCGATGTGCAGACCAGCTAGCAGCACCTCTAACTCGCATCTTTCAGCACTGCCTAGTACAGTGTAAATGGCCCATGGAAAGAGGCAAATGTAGCCCCTGTTCACAAAAAGAAAAGCAGAGCAGAAATCAGCAACTACAGACCAGTGTCACTCATGTCAATCACTGGCAAAATCCTTGAGACAATCTCAAGACAAATGATTCACTACATTGTGACTGTCAATATGGCTTCAGGAAAGGTTACTCTACTGCTGATCTGTTGTTAAACCTCTCCACCAAATGGCACCAGTCACTGGATGAATCCAAAGTCATGTGTGTGATAGCACTGGACATTGCTGGTGCTTTTGACCGGGTGTGGCACCAGAGCCTCTTAGCAAAACTAAGCTCTGGCAATTGCAGGCTCTACGCTATGTCTCCTCAGTGATTACCTTCATGGTAAGTCTCTAAGGGTAGCTCTCAATGGAACGGAATCAGCAAGATTGCCAATTGGGGCAAGTGTTCCACGAGGAAGCGTGCTGGGACCATTGTTATGGAATGTTTACTGCAATGACCTCCTCAGTCTCATCCCAGAATCCCATGCATATGAAGACGACTGTACACTGACATTCACTTATCCAAGAGAAGAAATGCCAGCTGCTCTAAACTACATCAATCACCAGCTAAGAGCTATATCAGATTGGGAAAACAGATTGCAAGTAACACTTGCACCTGAGAAAACAAATGATGATGGTCTCTGGGCACCATGATAGTAATGCTGGTCAGTAGTAAGTATGAATGGGAGGGTGTTTGTGCCTGGGGAAGAAGTTGATATCCTTGGGGTGAAATTTGACTCCAAACTGACCATGAAGAACCATGTAAATTTTGCAAACAAGGCAGCCAGGAAGCTTACAGCACTTCACCGTCTCTTGCATCTGCTTGACAGTAGGGGTTGCAAGATTATGTATGAGGCACAAGTATGCTCACACCTTGTGTATGCTCCACTTTCTTGGTTTGCCTGCCCCCCCCCCCCTCATATGCGACCCACAACAGTCAACTAACCCAGGTGAACAGGAAAAAATGCCTGGAACTAGTGCTCATATTGGTGAATTTAAGGCCAGCAAAGGTTGGTTTGAGAGATTTAAGAATTGTAGTGGCATACACAGTGCAATAAGGCATGGCGAAGCTGAAAAATTCATCCCTCAATAAGTGTTCAATTGTGACGAAACAGGCCTGGTCTGAAAGAAAATGCCAAACAGGACCTACATTACTCAGGAGGAAAAGGCACTCCCAGGACACAAGCCTACAAAAGACAGGCTGACTCTCATGTTTTGTTGTAATGCTAGTGGGGATTGTAAAGTGAAGTCTTTACTGGTGTATCACTCTGAAAATCCCAGAGTGTTCAAGAAAAACTGTCTCATCACTCATCAATAAAGGTAAATGTCATTTTAACATTTATTTATGTAGTTATTGTGCATGTCTTTTCTTTGTAGGGAAATTATTTCATAAAAAAAAAAAATTTAAACACTTTCGGCTGTCTGGAACAGATTAATTGGATTTCCATTATTTCTTACGAGGAAAATTAACTCGGCTAACAATGAGCTTTCAGGAACGGATTAATATCGTTAGGCGAGGGTCCACTGTACAACCATAGATACTATACGAAAATAGACCACAAAGTCAGCATTTTAATTAAAAAAAAAAAAAAAAAAAAAAAAAAAAAAAAAAAAAAAGGTCAGTTTTTTTCCTCATTATGCAGCGTGCTGCAGGAATTTTTTATATGGTGCACACTGACCACACAGACCTACATGTGGGCCTACCAGCTTTCTCCTGCTTGATCTGAAGCCGCTAGAATTTATGAGTATATATATACGTCAAACAGTACCTCGTAATACGTATATATACAACTGGTTAAGTAACCACTTTGAGTGGGTACTTCTACCCTCACAACCCAAGCTGTTGCTGCTAGTGGCCCACAAGCCTACATAACCATCACAGTCTGGCTGATCTGGCACTTGTTGGAGGCAGCAATGCAACTAGTGGTGCCTTACAGTAATGTCAAGACATATCCTAGCATAAGATAAGCAGTAGCATGTAGAGAGCATGTACTAGCCTATATTGATGCAGGTTGAGGCACTGACTACACACAGCAGGGATTCATGGTACAATAATATTTAACACACCTCCCAACCTTCTATAATGAAAAAATAATAGGAATGAGAAAAATGTAAAAGATGACAAAGATAATGAGAAAAAGAATAAACAATATTGATGAGAAAAACAAATAAAAAAAGAATAAGAATGAATTAATGAGAGCATAAATCTGAAAATGAATAAGGAGAGAGAAAGCGAAAGTATTTATTTATTTTTTATTATCACACTGGCCGATTCCCACCAAGGCAGGGTGGCCCGAAAAAGAAAAACGAGTGATATAAAATAAAGAAAGGAGAATAAAGACTGGAGACACATGGAGGAACTCTCTCAAAGCTCTTACCTTAGCAGGACTTCTGTTAAAGTAATAAGGTAAGGGTTTCCTTGGAGACATGGCTGTGCTTCCTTTCACAGGACTCAGTGTGTTAATGAAGACTGAGTGGTTACTGGAGATGCGGCGCCGCGGTGACACTGGTGTGTGTCGCACCACTGGCAGTGGTGACAGCGGTGGAAGCTCACCCTGAAACAACAAATATGAATTATGATTATTATATTCAGAGGGACAGATTGTCTGTATCACTCTTAACCCTTTGACTGTTTTGAGGCCCCTTTCTGAAACTGTCATTCTATGTCACTCAATTTTTGAAAAAAAAAAAAAAAAAAATTCTTATGAAATGATAGAGAATCTTTTCCCAATGGTAATGACACCAAAAGTTCGAAATTTGGTCGAAAACTCATGAAATTATACTCCCGCGAAGTTAGCGGTCTCGGCGGCATATGCGTATCGGCGATTTCGCCGACATTGAGCCCTACTTTCAGCCAATTCCATTGTTCCAGTTGACCAAACTCATAGCTATTTCTTTAGAACTCCATTTTATCTATCAGCTGAGTACAAGAACCTCCATTTACTAATTTGTACTACCCAATTATGGTGGTCAGAAATTGGCAATTTGGCCAATTTCACGCAAATTAAAAAAGATGCCAATTTCAAAATAGGGTCCAGAATAAACAAGGTAGACATTCGTGGCACTAAAATAACATATGCTCTGTTCATTAGTCACATCTCTAGGCCCCTCTTATATTATTATTGCTTTCTATTTTGATTTTTTATTCATACAAAAAAAATACAAAATTTACTGTTATGCAGACTACTGCATTATTGTAAAAATGGTATAAATAATATCAGTGCACTAGTGAAAGAATATTAGACTCCCAGTTGACGTGTATTGGACGTGTGGTGTGATTTATTTACTCCTGAACATTGGTAAAAATCGAACATTTCCGCTACTTTGAGCTCAGTTTCAAGATCGTTTTCATCGTCAAAGTAATGAAAATCATCTCTATTTCTGTAATATGTTTTCCATTTTATCACCCAAGACCATGAAAACGCGAATACAACGATAAATACTATACGAAAATACACCTCAAATTCGGCGATTTATTCCAAAAAAACGATCAGTTTTTTTTCTCATTACGCAATGTGTGCTGCAGGATTTTTTTTATGTGGTGCACACTGACCACACAGACCCATTCTCTCACATGTGGGTCTACCAGCTTTCTCCCGCTTGATTTGAAGCCGCTAGAATTATTGAGTATATATACGTCAGAAACATTGGCTCGTAAGACGTATTTATACGTCGAAAACAGTCAAAGGGTTAAAGAGCCATACAGTGCTTTTATGACAGCCATAAAGTACCTGTACGACTCTTACAGGGTCATACAGAATTAGGAATTGTCAAAAAGATTTGGTTAGTATTAACCTTCATAATAAAGAATAGCCTGAAAGATCTGGCAAATAACCATCAGGGTTGTATTTTTTCTTATGAAATGATAATCTTTTTCCAAAGGTAATGAAAGCAAAATTATGAAATTTAATGGAAATCTCACGGAATCATGCTCTTACAAAATTAGCTGTCTAGGCGATACTTACGAATTGGCTATTACACCCACTTTGACCCCTATTTTCGGCCAATTCCATTGTTCCAGTCAACCAAACTCTTAAGCTATTTCACTAGAACTCATTTGTTCTATCGATCGAGTGCAAGAAACCACCAATTTACCGATTTCAATTACCTAATAGTGAAAAAAATTGGCAATTTGGCCAATTTCATGCACAATTCAAGCAAGGCCAATTTCAAAATAGGGTCCAGATTTAACAACACAAACATTTCTAGCACTAAAATAACATTTTCTCTATTCATTAGTCACGTCTCCAGGCCCCTCTCATATTACACTTCCTTTCCATTTTGAATTTTTATTCACAAAAAATAGATGATTTACTGTTAAGCAGACTACTGCATTATTGTAAAAATGGTATAAAAAATATCAGCACATTTGTGAAAGCATATTAGACGCACCAATTGACGTGCACTGGACGTGACTATTTGTTTACTCTTGAACATCGGCAAAAATCAAATATTTCCACTACTTTGAGCTCGATTTCTAGGTACTTTTAGTCTGTAAACAATTCAAAATCATCTACTTCTGTAATATATCTTCCATTCTCTCAAATGAGACCAAGAAAACGAGAATACGACCATACGAAAATACACCGCAAAATCAGTTTTAAACGAAAAACACGGTCGGAATTTTTTTTCTCATTATGCACTGTATGCTGCAGGATTTTTTTTATACTGCACACACTGAGTATGCGTTCTCATTCTCTTATATGTAGGTCTACCAGCTTTCTCCTGCTAGATTTGAAACCGCTAGAATTTTGGCTTAATATTATGGCACCAACACTGGCTTGCAAGCCGTAATATTATGGCACCGACAGTGAAAGCGTTAAGCCAGGTTTCAGTAAGAATAATACAGGAGAAGTTCGTCTTTAATGAAACTAGGAGTGCCAGGTCATCATAGTGGTTACTTAGGGATCTAATACTGTAATTCAAAACTACAATATTTCTGGCATTGCTGAGGACAGTACTGGCTTTTGTTGCTGTGCAGTAAAATGTTTACTGGGATTTAGATTATGAAGATTCAGTTCAAGGTCAATGTCAGCACTGAGCATTTAGGGTTAACTGGTAAATACTATTTAAATGATTATGAATTGCAGAAGGGTGATAAGAGGTAATAATAATGTCTAATAAGGGAGTTATTGAACAACAATGGTGTAAGTGTATACTGTTCCAATAGACTGTAGATGCTAACAAACATAGCGACATAGTAGCAATGAAATATAATGAACGATCAAGACTATATACATAGCGCCTAACTTATTCCACTAATGCTATTATATACTGTATACAGTAGACAGTAAAAAAATGTTATAATCATCAGCACCTTACTTTGAATTGTTATTGTACTATTATAGACTGCACACAATACAGTAAAAAATGTACACACAGTGGACCCTTCTTTTTCGTAATTAATTCGTTCCAGAGAGTGACTATTATCAATATAGATGATTTGTGAATCCATTTTCCCCATAAGAAATAATGTAAATCCAATTCGTTCCAGACACCCAAAAGTATCAAAAAAATTTTTTTTGCCTTAAAATAGATTTACATGCACAGAAGAATGAACATTCAACATGATAGTTACCTTTATTGAAGGTTGTCGTTGATGGATGGAAGACAGGGAGGAGGAGAGAGGGAAGAGAGGCTATTGTTTGGAAGGGGAATCCCCCTCCATAAGGACTCTAGGTCACTTCCGTAGCTTAAATATAGATTTACATGCAGAAAAGAATGCCAATTAAATGAAAAGCACTAATAAAATGTATAAATCAACATTTAACATCACACCTTTACTGAAGACTCTTGTTGGTGTAAGGCAGACAGGGCAGAGGGAGGGGAGGGGAGTTTATTGTTGGAGAATATGACACTAATATCAACTACGGCTTATTTATCTATCACAATTCAACTAATATGACATAATAAACAATATTAATAACAGAAACATGGAATGTACTCTAGAATGAATAAGTCATTATGTATGTCACGACTAGTGTTGTGTTGAGTGTATAAGGGCAAGTGAGCATAAACTGTACATAATGGTGGTGAAGCAGCAGCTGAGGTGGTGGTGTTTTCTGTAGCCCTACATAACTCCAACAACATTGGAGTTAGTAGAATCGCTGAATCACTGAAGAAGGCATCCTCTACCACCATCACTACCACCTTCCACAACTATCATAACTGCTACCACCATCACAATCACTACCACTGTCTACCACTATCACAACTGCTAGCACCCTCTACCACCATCACAACCACTACCATCACTACCACCATCACAACCACTACCATCACTACCACCATCACAACCACTACTATCACTACCACCATCACAACCACTACCACCATCACAACCACTACCATCACTACCACCATCACAACCACTACTGCCCTCTACAACCATCACAACCACTACTATCACAACCACCCTCTACCACTATCAAAAACTACCACCATCACAACCACTACCACCCTCTACCATCACAACCACTACTGCCCTCAACCATCATCACAACCACTACCACTATCACAACTGCTAAAACCCTCTGCCACTATCACAACTGCTACCACCCTCTACCACTATCACAACTGCTATCACCCTCAACCACTATCACAACTACTACTACCACCACCACTTTCGTATTTTTCTACAAACTTTTTCTTAAATTATGTGTGTTTCTCGCTTTCTTTGGAGCCATGGTGGCTTATTGGTTTACTTAGCAGATGCAAGCACTAAAAGAAATGGAATATTATAAAATGTATTGCATGAAGTCATGGGAACATCCTCACTTACTGATAAACAATGGCACACTGGCTGGGAATGGAATGTGAGGCTGATTGGGGGCCGTGCATACGTGTCCGAGACAAACGATTATTTGCGAGTCAAACTACGATTTTCAAGTCAATGTTATGACGAAAAAAGTTACGATTTTCGAAAATTACGACTTTCTAGCCTTACGAAAAACGAGGGTCCACTGTGGTTCTATACTAATAGAGGATGGTAAAAGATAGTTACAAATACGTACAGTGAAACCTTGGCTTACGAAGGCTCCATGCAAATTTTTCAGGATACAAATCATTCGGTCGATTTTTTGCTTCTGGATATGAACGAAATTTCAGGATGCGTACTTCCCTCTCATGGGAGGTTCCTTAAATAAAATATTTATTTCTTTGCAGAAGTTGCAGTGTGTGTTTACATACATTATTATTGGGGCAAAGAAAGCCAATAACATTCCGAGGCATTTCAGGTAGACTTAACCCTTTCAGGGTTGACAGGCCCTCTCCCAAACTTGTTCTGAGGGTCGAAAAATTTTGAAAAGAAATTCTTATGAAATGATAGAGCATATTTTTGCAGGTATAAAACGCAAAAAAAAAAAAAAATTGTGATCAATACTTACCGAGATATGGAGGCTTGAAGTTGACAGAAAGTGAGCTCAATTTCAAATTATTTTCAATACTAAAACCAATCAAAACCATCTCTACTTCTGTAATATATCTTCCATTCTATCAAATGAGACCAAGAAACCGTGAATATATCTGTAAAAACCATACAAAAATACACAGCAAAGTATCCATTTTAATGCAAAAAACACTGTTGTAGTTTTTTCTCATTATGCACTGCGTGCTGCATTTGTTTTATATGGTGCACACTTACCACATATATGGTGCACACTTACCACATATATGGTGCACACTTACCACATATATGGTGCACACTTACCACATATATGGTGCACACTTACCACATATATGGTGCACACTTACCACATATATGGTGCACACTTACCACATATATGGTGCACACTTACCACATATATGGTGCACACTTACCACATATATGGTGCACACTTACCACATATATGGTGCACACTTACCACATATATGGTGCACACTTACCACATATATGCATTCCTCAAATCTAGGCCCAAATTTACTGCTCACAGTTTATCTGAGCAAGTTGACCTCGTGTAGTACTATGGCATGGACCCTGGCTTCAAAGCTGTACAACTATGGGACAGACCCTCAAGGGGTTAAACAGAGGAGAGCACTAAATTTGTATGGGATCATATAATGCCTGTGAAATGGGAGGAATTAAAATTCAATCCAAGCAAGGTGAAGATAAGTCCAGTTCCTTGGATCAAGTGTACTATACTATTTTGAGTGTAGTACAGAGTGACAGCACCACAGTGAGTAGCATGGAGTGACAGCACCACAGTGTGTAGCATGGAGTGACCACCACCACTGTGTAGCATGGAGTGACACCACCACTGTGTAGCATGGAATGACTGCATCACAGTATGTAGCATGGAGTGACCACATCACGTGACAAAAATGGCACGAACATACTCAAAAATAAATAACTTGTGTATTGTACCAACATACTCCATTAAATATTTCAACCTTCTTCAAAGATACATCAGTGTTGAAATTTTGAAGCTATCAGAGGAACCAGTTTGCACCTATCACACAAAAAAAATTGGGAATGGCTTATGTAGCATTGTGCAGAATGCGGCCATGGAAATGGTACCATAAATCTCGCCCAAGATACATTATACAAGCACTGAAGATAAGATAAGATAAGATTTCATTCGGATTTTTAACCCCGGAGGGTTAGCCACCCAGGATAACCCAAGAAAGTCAGTGCGTCATCGAGGACTGTCTAACTTATTTCCATTGGGGTCCTTAATCTTGTCCCCCAGGATGCAACCCACACCAGTCGACTAACACCCAGGTACCTATTTGCTGCTAGGTGAACAGGACAACAGGTGTAAGGAAACGTGTCAAATGTTTCCACCCGCCGGGAATCGAACCCGGGCCCTCCATGTGTGAAGCGGGAGCTTTAGCCACCAGACCACCGGGTCACTAATTTGAAGCCAAGTGAATAAGTCATTCTCAAGTATAGAAAATTTGTGAGAAAGCAACAAAAATGTTGCCAGGAATGTTTATAAATAAATCTCCCCTCATTAATTGTAATAACACCAAAAAAAAATTTTTTTTTTTTTTAGTTTACTTTTCTCATTTACAATGCAGCCTCTCCTCACTTAATGACAAATCTGTTCCTAAGACCAAGTCTGTAAAATTCGTCGCTAAGTGAGGAGCATACCATCTTCGATACTGTTTTAATGTCACCTTTTCACCATTTATAACATTTCTGGTATATTTTTAAATGTTTATACAGCAGTGTACTGTATACTGTAATAAACAGAATAGGGGAAATCAGCTCTAATATACATTACTTAGGTATGCATACTGGTCAGAGAGCCTGTCGTAAGTCTGAGTCATTGGTAAACGAGTATGTTGCTAAGTGAGGAGAGGCTGTATTAAAAATTCTCTACAATCCTGTAATAAAAAATCATTGATTTTTTTTTTAAATCTAATTTGATAAAAACTGGCACCCACAAAGCCCAAAATTAATACAAAAATACTGCCTATTACGATAAACCAGAATTTAGGGTCTGAAGCTGATCTGGAGATGCATTCTCTAGTTCTTTACTATTTTAACTGAAACACTAGGTCAGAGGCTAGTGATTCTCATTATGTACTGTGGAGCAAGATTTTCTTATACACAGTCCACACCCCCATTACAGTCCCACTTAGTGCTCACACTGTGCACACCTACCTCAGTCCCACTTAGTGCTCACACTGTGCACATCTACCTCAGTCCCACTTAGTGGCCACAGCATACCTGAGGGCACTGAGTAAGCTATAGACTTACACAAGTAAGACTGGCTTCAATAATGTTTATCTATGTGAGAGACAGTGAGAGGGTTAACTCCTACTGAGAGGACCACTTACATTTTATGGTCAGTAAGTTTTAAAAACTATTACATGAAGTGCATTAAATCAGGCGGTAATTTTTTTTTTTTTAACATGTCAGCCGCTTCCCATCAAGGCAGGGCGACCCAAAAAGAAAGAAAAACCCAAAGAAAGAAAAAACTTTTGCCATTCAACACTTTCACCAACACTTATACAGAATCACTGTCATTGCAGAGGTGCTCAGATTCACAGTTTAGCTATCCCTCCAAGCTGCCAATATCCCAAACCCCTCCTTTAAAGTGCAGCCATTGTACCTCCCATTTCCAGGACTCAAGTCTGGCTAACTGGTTTCCCCGAATCCCTTCACAAAATGTTACCCTGCTCACACTCCAACAGCTCATCAGGTCCCAAAACCCATTTGTTGCCATTTACTCTATCTAATATGCTCACACGCTTGCTGCAAGTCCACAAAACCACCTTTACCATCTCCCTCCAACTTTTTCAGGGACAACCCCTACCCCACCTTCCTTCCCTTACAGATTTATATGCTCTACTAGACATTCTTTGTTTCATTCTCTCGAAATGACCAAACCACCTCAACAACCCCTCTTCAGACCTCTGACTAATACTTTTAGTAACTCCACACATCCTAATTTCCACACTACGAATTCTCTGCATAATATTTACACCACACAATGCCCTTAGACACACCATCTCCACTGCTTCCTCACTGCAGCATTTACAACCCATGCTTCGCATCCATGTGCGTTGGTACCACTATACTCTTGTAAATTTCCTTCTTTGCCTCCATGGATCAAGTCTGTCTCCACAAATACCTAAACACACCACTCACCTTTTTTCTTTCATCAATTCTATGGTTAACCCCATCCTTCATTAACCCATCCACTGATAAGTCAACTCCCAAATACCTGAAAATGTTCACTTCCATTCTCCCTCTCCCTAATGTGATATCCAATTTTCTTTGTCTAAATCATTTGATACCCTCATCACCTCACTCTTATCTATGCTCACTTTCAACTTTTTATCTTTACAGATATTCCCAAACTCATCCACTAACCTTTGCAACTTTTCTTTATAATCTCCCAAAAGTACAGCATCATCAGCAAAAACTAACTGTCAACTCCCATTTGGTATTTGATGTCTATCTTTCTTTTTGGGTCACCCTGCCTCGGTGGGAGACGGCTGACGAAGAAAAAAATCTATATTCACTAAGGTCTTGGTGCCTATGTGCTATATTCACATGCACAAAATTTAAATGTAAAAATAGTAACATGGGTCTCCAAGGGGAAGTGCAGAAGAATTATTTCTTCATAAGCAAAGTGTGTTGAAAGAAGTTATTAAAATGCCAGGAGCAAAGGGCTAGTAACCCCTGCTTCGGTAGATTCCTTAAGGGTACAAAATAAAATTTAACTTTCTAATTTAGTTACCTAGCTAGCTAGTAACAATAACTGTTTAGAAAACAGTGAAAAAGCGCACAAGCTACGATAATACCTCCTGAGCTGCCCGGAACTTGAATGCAAACGCCTTCATTTGTTGCACATAGACTTGGTTATAAAATGATATGAGATCACCTCGTTCCTCGGAATCAAAGCTGGTGGAGGTTCCTGTCATCTGACTGGGAGTAGGCGGTGGTGCACTGCCGCCATGATGACGGACTGTCACCTGAAACAATATTCTTGCCTTAGTTTAGTTACCAGGTGAAGGATAAAGCCTCCACCACTATCTGCATTGTATAATCCACTTGGTTTTACCACTTCACAAATTTAAAATAAAAAATCACCTAAAAGACAACAATGTTATAATACATCCTGAAAGTCCCTACCTGCTACCAATTCACTTACATGCTTCAGTGTAAGAATTTGTTCTACACATCCTGCTCACCTTACACCTAATTCTTTCAACAATAACCCTAGACAGGACTCACAGCAATGGCTTTAAATTGGAAAAATTCAGATTCAGGAAGGATATAGGAAAGCACTGGTTTGGTAAGAGTTGTGGACGAGTGGAACAAACTCCTGAGTACCGTCATAGACGCTAAGACGTTGTGTAGTTTTAAAAATGGGTTGGATAAATACATGAGTGGGTGTGAGTTGGACATGACTAGCTTGTGCTACTAGGTAGGATGCACTGCTCCTCCTTAAGTGACGTGTCTGACCTCACTAAGTCAAGGCATTGGCTTAAGCTGTTACGAGAATTGGAGCTGCCTCGCATGGGCCAGTAGGTCTGTTGCAGTGTTCCTTCTTTCTCATGTTCTTATACACCTTACCTGGTATACTTAGTAGGCTTATTCCCCTATAATTTTTATTCTTTTTTTCTCCTTCCCTTTATGTAAAGGTACTACGTATGCTCTCTGCTAGTTCCTAGGTACCTTCCCCTCTAATACATTTACTGAACAAAAGTACCAACTTCTCCAAAACTACATTCCCCTCTTAACATTTCTGTCATGATCCCATCAATTCCAGCAGCTTTACCCCCTACTCCCCTCCCACTTTCATTCTACCCAATGCTTCATACACTTCCTTCCCCCACACTCACATCTGACTCCTCCTCTTTCCTAAAGGATGTTATGCCTCCCTGGTAAATACATGAAATCACTGCCTCCTGCTCTTCAACATTTATCAATTTTGCAAAATATTTCATCTTCTCAATATCTTTAACTCCCCTATTCTGTTTTTAACTGTCAAATCCATTTGTTTGCTAGGAATAGATACCTCAATGCATCACCCACCTTTTTTTCCTTTCATCAATTCTATGGTTTACCTCATCCTACATATACCCATCCACTGCCTTTTCCACTCCCAAATATCTAAACATTAACATTTATCCTCTTTCTCAAAATATGTATTAAATGTTACCAAACCTCTTTCTATACAAAGTTCAGTTATAAGTCCCCTATTATTATTTACCTCTGACACTCCAAACTTATCTACTACTACCTCCACAACAGTTTTCCCCCCACTTGAGAACTTATGTCTCCCACCACAATTACTGTCTTGCTAGGTTCAAAACTCCCTAAGCACTCACTCAACATCTTACAAAATCTCTCTCCTTTATATTTCTTTCTTCTTGAGGTGCATAAAAACTTACACATCACATCCGACTCCTATTGTACTCCACATATCCTCTTTTGATGCCATAATTGATCCTTCAACATTATTGCTACTCCGTCCTTAACTCTATTAGAAACCCATGACCAAATCTCGTATTTCTCCCCACTGAAACTCTCCAACCACCTTCAACTTTGTTTCATTTAAGAGCCAGGACATCTAGCTTTTTTTTTTCATAATGTCCACAATCATCTCTTATCATCCACACTACAATATACCCATGTACATTCAAATATCCCAACAACAGTTTTCTTCTCATTTTTAATAATTATGTAGGAGAAGGGGTTACTAGACCATTGCTCGTGGCATTTTAGTCGCTTTTTACAACATGCATGACTACAGAGGAAAGATTCTTATTCAAGTTCCTCATGGAGATGAAAGGAAATAAGAACAAGAACTATTAAGAAAAAATAAAAGAAAACTCAGATAAGTGTGTATACACATAGGTGTAAATGCATGTGTAGTGAGACCTAAGTGTAAGTACAGTGGAACCCCAGATTTTGTACTTAATTCGTTCCAGAAGGTCGATCTAAATCCAAAAAGTGTGAAAACTGAAGTAATATTTCCAATAAGAAATAATGTAAATACAATTAATCCGTTTCAGACACCCAAAAAATACATTTTTTAAATAACTACAGTTTTACATACAAAAAATAATGAGAAATAAATATAAAGCACTAATGAAATGGATAAATGAACATTTAACATCACTTTTACCTTTACTGAAGACTCTTGTTGGCGTATGGAGGGAGGAGTGTGTGTTTGGAGACAGGACAAAATACTTAAATGTGATGCTAATATCAACTCTATGGCTTATTTATCTATCACAATTTATCTAATATGACAAACAATATTAATAACATAGAAACATGATATATAACCTAGAATGAATAAAATATGTCATTATGTATGTGACTAGTGGTGATGGTGTAGGTGTGTTGTTGGGTTTATCAGCGAAACTGCGGCATTTAAAAACCATATAGTGGTGGGCCACCACCACTTAAAAGCACTACTAGGGCACACTGAAAAACCACTTTTTAAATGAAACAATGGGACGTAATTTATTTTAAAAAAGGGAAAAATTGTATAAAAAAACATAATAGAGAATGTAAAGAAATAAAGTGGTTATTGAGATGCTGTCAGAGGTTTTTGGGGGGGTTTGGAAACTACACAGGGTGGCAAAATGTTGTCGTGGCCCTTATACCCCCAAAAAACGGGAAGATTTTGTTTTGGGCATCCTTTTTCATCACTTAACACTTAACCCCTTTTTTAGGGTTTCGGGGCCCTTTCTTGTTCGGCCCTTTCGCGCCGGGTCCTTGACATACTAGTACGCTTTAATTTTAACACCCTAAATCTAGTGAGGGAAAGTGGTGGGGATAATATGAAAGAAAAAGGGGTTTTGTGGTCGGGGTTTCGTGGTATAAAAAATTTCCCGGCTCAACAGTAAGTAAAGAGGAAAAAAAAAAAAAAAAATTTGGGGGGTTTTTTTTTGGTTTTTAAAAAAGGACTTTGCCCCGTATTTTCGGGATGGTATTTTTTTTTGTTTTTCTAGTTTTCCTGGGCTGTTTTGTAGAATTTAAAGACATCTTACAAAAAAATTGAGATGATTTTGACTGGTTTTACAAAGAAAAGTACCTTGAAATTGAGCTCAAAGTAGCAGAAATGTTTGAGTTTTACCAAAGTTCAAAAGTAAACAGATCATGCTATGCGTCCAATACACGTCAACTGGCGAGTCTAATATTCTTTCACAAGTGCACTGATATTATTTATGCCATTTCTACACTAATGCAGTAGTCTGCATAACAGTAAATCTTCTATTTTTTTGTGAGAATAAAAATTCAAAGTGGAAAGCAAAGGAATGTAAGAGGGGCCTGGGGACATGACTAATGAACAGAGGAAATGTTATTTTAGTGCCAGGAATGTCTTTCTTTTGTATTCTGGACCCTATTAGGAAATTGGCATCTTTTGAAATTTGTGTGAAATTGGCAAAATTGCTAAATTCTGATCACTGTATTGGATAGTTGAAATCGGGAAATGGGTAGTTTCTTGTACTCATTTGATAGAAAAAATGGAGTTCTAGCGAAATAGTTATGATTTTTGTCGACAAGTACACTGGAATTGGCTGAAAATAGGGCTCAAAGTGGGCAAAAATCGCCGATGCGTAAACCATCGTCGAGACCGCTAACTTCGCGAAAGCATAATTCCGTAAGTTTTCCATCAAATTTCATACTTTTTGTGTCATTATGATCGGGAAAAGATTCTCTCTTTTCATAAGAAAAAATAATTTTTTCTTTTTTGAAATTTGGCCGACCCTGAGAACAAGTCTCTGAGAGGGCCTGTCGACCTTGAAAGAGTTAAAGCTCCCTAGAGCGATAAAATGCATATACAGCACACTCAGGTGTGTTTTTTTTTTTTTTTTTTTTTTTTACACGTCAGTCATTTCCCACTGAGGCAGTGTGACCCAAAAGTTAAGAAAAACAGAAGAGAGAAAATTTTCATCATTCATCAGTTTCACCATCACTAATACGTAATCACTATTTTTGCAGAGGCACTCATATGACAGTTTAGATGTCACTCCAAACACCCAATATCCTAAACCCCACCGGTTTCCCTGAATCCTTTCACAAAATATTACCCTGCTCACACTCCAACAGCTCATCAGGTCCCAAAACCCATTTGTTTCCATTCATTTCTATCTAACACGCTCATGCACGCTTGCTGGAAGTCTAAGCCCCTCATCCACAAAACCTCCTTTACCCCGTCCCTCCAACCTTTCCTAGGATGACCCCTACCCAGTCTTCCTTCCCCTACAGATTTATCCGCTCTCCATTATTATTATTATAATCAAAAAGAAGCGCTAAGCCACAAGGGCTATACAGCGCTGCAGGGTAGGGAAGGAAGCAAGGGAATTGGATGGCAGAAGGGAGGGGGGATGATCCGCAGGTTACAGAAAACAGCGGGGCAGGGGATAGTACGGGGGTAGAGGGTAGCAAGAGATACAAGTAGAAAGGGCTGAAAGTATCAGAATTTGTGAAGTAAGTCAGTCGTTGTCAAAAAGTCAATGAGAGAGTCCGGATGAAAGGTGGGTCCATCAGCGAGAAGGGAAGGTAAGAGAGAGAGCGCGGGGCGAAGACGACGACAGAGGTAAATTCTGCGTGCTCGTTGATAAAGTGGGCAGTCCAACAGAATGTGGCTGACTGATAATGGAGCTTGGCAATTCTCACAGAGAGGAGCAAGACGCCTCTCCATGAGATATCCATGAGTAAGACGAGTATGGCCAATGCAAAGACGGGAGAGAGTAGTCTCCCAACCTCGACACTGGTGATAAGAAGACGGCCAGTAACCTATACTCGGTTTAATAGACTGAAGTTTGTTGCCGAGCATAGTAGACCAACGTTGTTGCCACGGGTGTGAAGGTGGGAAGATATTACAGCAAAATAGTCCGTACATGGAATACCTCTATAAGAAACTGGGGAGGTATGTACTGCTGACCGCGGCAGTTTGCCCGTTCTTGCCCCGTACT